GCATCTTCTGTTTCCTGGGTCCCGTGTCTTCTGCTTTCTTGGTGATTCTCTAGTTTTTGTGGGGCACATCCTTCAGTAACTTTGAGAGCAAGGGTACGTGGCAGTCGCATTTTTGAGCCCTCACATGTCTTTATTCCACCCTCCATACCTGATGATTTACCTAGGTGTAGAATTCCAAGCTGGAGAAAATGTTCCTTCACACCCTTGAAGACATTGCTCTGTTTCTCCTTGAATGTTGCTGTAGAGCCTGACTTTCTTATTCCTGATCCCTAGAATGCGACCTGTTTTTCCTTTCCCAAAGATTGTAGAATCTTCTTTTTCTCCAGTGTTCTGAAATGTCACAAAGGCGTGTCTGCTTTCGCCTGTTCTGCCAGCTTTGCTGGCCCTTTCAGTCTAGAAGCCCCTGTCCTTCAGTTCTGGGATGACTTTGTTGATTTCCCCCTATTTCCTGGTTTCTCCTTTTTGAAACCTGTCTTATCTGAATGTTGAACCTCCTCAACTCTTCTCTGTCTGTCTCTTTTCAAAAGATCTCTCTCTCATTTTTCTCTAATATTCTAAAAGATTTCCATAGCTTTATCCTTGAATCTTTTTATTGAGTTTCAAATTTCTGTTATGTTTTTAATTTTTAAGAACTTTTCTTGTTGTTGTTGATTTTTTTCCTTCATATTTTTTTACAGGATGCTGTAAAAAAGGAGTTCTTTTTGGGAGCAAAATTTTTCTTCCATCTCTCAGAGGATACTGTTAGTTGTTTTTTCTGTTTGTTTGTTTTTCCCTTCTTCTTCTCTCTTTGCATGGCCTGTGATTGCCCCACGTTGTTTTTTCCTTCGGTTTCTTTTGTCTTCATCTTCCATGACAGATGCTCTCTCAGATATCTGGTGAACCTCCTGGTGACTCATAGGCATCTTAAGGTTTGAGAACTGCGGCTTGAGTGTCTCTTAATCTCTCTAAAGCTTGTTCCAACTGACATCCCACAGAGAAAAACAAATGTTTCAGGATGTTTTTTTCTCCAGAAGAACCAGAGCTTTTTTCTTCCAGTTAGAGGCCTGGCCCTTTTCCTGAATGAAATCGAATATGACAGCAGCCTTAGAGGTGGCTTCACCAGTT